CATAACAAACGCAAAATACTAAAAATAATTAAATATAATTCAACAGAAAAGAACCCATAGTGCACGATACATAACAGACATATAGAACCAGACCATCACAAGAACCATCACAAGAACCAACATAAGAACCATCATAAGAACCATCATAAGAACCATCATAAGAACCATTATAAGAACCATCACAAGAACAATCATAAGAACCATCATAAGAACCATCATAAGAACCATCATAAGAACCATCACAAGAACCATCATAAGAACCATCACAAGAACCATCACAAGAACAATCATAAGAACCATCACAAGAACCATCATAAGAACCATCACAAGAACCATCACAAGAACAATCATAAGAACCATCACAAGAACAAAGTAAGAAAGATAAAAACTGACCAAGTTAAAACATAAGAGGAGTTAAGATAAGTAAGAAGTAATAGAAGATAAAAAATAGTAAAACCAGTAAGAAGACGACATCACATAAAAGTAGGTCTGTAAAAGTACGTTTTAAGATTTAAAAGAACTGAGGGAATCTGTGAGTCTTATCTCCTCAGGGAGGTAATATAAAAACACTGTTGTTAACTGTCCTTACACTGTACTATAAAAACTGTTGATTTCAGACCTTTACTGATGTGATTGTCCTCTCTCATCTCCTTCTCTCTCTCCATTTTTAGATTTCAAGTCTTACAAAGATGACCCTGAACGTCACCAATGACTCCAGTCGGTACTACCTCCCGTTCATGTATGATTGCTTTTTATCTACGGCCGGCATGTACACCATGTCCTCCCTTATCTTTGTCTACATCCTCCTCGTCCTCCCTCTCAATCTCTACGTCCTCTATCTGGGAATCAGAGTGGAGGCAACGCCGCTCAGTTCCTGCAGCAGAGACCATGAGTTACTCCGACTTCTTCACTACAACCTCGCCGTCATAGTCCTGATCTCAGTGGTCGGTTCTTCATCTACTTCTTCTCCTTTTATCTTCTGACTCTGTTGCCTATTTCTGCCTTTATGGATTTTTTGTCTGGTTTGGAGAGATGATCTTACCGATCCTGACCTGTATAGAGCGCTACATGGCTGTCGTTCATCCAATCACCTACCTGGGTATGAGAAAGGTGGGCGGGGTCAAGGTCAGGAACATCAGCGTGGGTTGTGCTTGGATGTTGTCTTTAGCAGGAGCCAGTTTCCTGCTCATGCTTTTGTTGAACCCTGCCTACGGGTTCTTGCCCACTATTCCGATCCTCTTCCTCTTCTTTGTGGTCATGACGTTCTGTAGCCTCTCCGCTCTCTGCGTTCTGTTTCGCCCACGTCCAGGAAGAGCCAGCGGCGACGGGAAGCGAGTCGACCGATCCAAGCAGAGAGCCATCCGAACCATCATGATCATAATGGGAGTGTTGTGGCTGAAGTTAAGCGTGAATGTGGCTTCTGCTTCTCTGAGTTCCTTGGCATCTGAGGCCGTCCGGTGTTTTGGGAATGTGTCCGTCTTATTGTCCTCTCTGCCCAGCAGCATGGTGTTATCTCTGCTGTTTCTGCAACGAGCCGGGAAACTTCCAAACTTTAAAAACAAAACATGAACCATGATGATGACTGTGTGATGTTTAGAACTACACTATATACCAGAATAGAATAGATGTTTATTGCCATTTGCACAGGTACAGGACAGTACAGGTACATTGGAATTTTTATGCATTTCTCCCTGAGTCAGCTTCTACAAGAAAGTTAAAATTATATATAAAATAGAAAAGCATTATAAGAAAAAAAGAGTAGAAAAGTACAAATAAAATAAATATAAAATAAAATAAAATAGCTTTTGCTGGTAGTGACAGTGTCCTGTGTTTATTTAATTTATTGTCATGCAACGTTTTAGCAGCTAAGCACTCCGTAGTTCATAGAAGTGTAATATGAACAGTATGAAGTCCGGCCGCTTGGTGGAAACAGGGCTTTAGTGAACACAACCCCCCCCTTGCTTGTTTAATTAGTTCTTTTCTCAATCTGGCACTTTGCGCTGTTTGTATTCAATGTAGGCCTACAGCCACATTTCCCACACAAACGATGGGACGTTGTGTAAAATGTAAATAAAAAACAAATGTCAATGTTCACAACCCATGTCTGTGTTCTGTGATCAATCAATCAGTCTTTATTTACATACAGTCCATACACCTGGACACTTTACACACGACACGTTACACTGTTTACATTATTCTATATTTTGTATATTCAATAATTATTTTTTTAATTTTACATTATATTCTATTTTACTGTATATGTGTATTAGTAATTGAGTTTATTGCGTGCCTTGCGGAACAGAAATTACATTTCACTGCACATCTGTATGAGCATGTGACAAATACAAATCTTGAATCTTGAATCTTTATTTGCATAGCTCCAATTCATAACAAGTGTAACCTCGAGACAACTTCCAGGAGTTGTCGTGACAACAACTAGTAAACTCATAAAAGAATGAGGCCCGACTTGACGTCGAAATTGTCTGAAACATGGCGGCAAAATATGTCCTGTTAATGTTAACACACTTTTTATTAATTCACGTACTGCACATCAACTTTCTGCTCAAATATAACTTTTAACAGTCACATTCTACAGATCTTCTCCTTCCTGTTTGTCATTGTGCTTACAACATTCAGACTTTACAAACTGAAATCACCAAACACACCGAAGTCGGAAGGACGACTTTTTCTTTTCTTATGATGGTTCTTGTGATGGTTCTTGTGATTGTTCTTGTGATGGTTCTTATGATGGTTCTTATGATGGTTCTTATGATGGTTCTTGTGATGGTTCTTATGATGGTTCTTGTGTTGCCTGGGTTCTTATGATGGTTCTTATGATGGTTCTTATGATGGTTCTTGTGTTGCCTGGGTTCTTATGATGGTTCTTGTGATGGTTCTTATGATGGTTCTTGTGATGGTTCTTATGATGGTTCTTGTGTTGCCTGGGTTCTTATGATTGTTCTTATAATGGTTCTTGTGATGGTTCTTGTGATGGTTCTTGTGATGGTTCTTATGATGGTTCTTGTGATGGTTCTGTGATGTGTTCTTATAATGGTTCTTGTGATGGTTCTTGTGATGGTTCTTGTGATGGTTCTTATGATGGTTCTTGTGTTGCCTGGGTTCTTATGATGGTTCTTATGATGGTTCTTATGATGGTTCTTGTGTTGCCTGGGTTCTTATGATGGTTCTTGTGATGGTTCTTATGATGGTTCTTGTGATGGTTCTTATGATGGTTCTTGTGTTGCTGGGTTCTTATGATTGTTCTTATAATGGTTCTTGTGATGGTTTTGTGATGGTTCTTGTGATGGTTCTTATGATGGTTCTTGTGATGGTTCTTGTGATTGTTCTTATAATGGTTCTTGTGATGGTTCTTGTGATGGTTCTTGTGATGGTTCTTATGATGGTTCTTGTGTTGCCTGGTTCTTATGATGGTTCTTGTGATGGTTCTTATGATGGTTCTTGTGATGGTTCTTATGATGGTTCTTGTGATGGTTCTTGTGATTGTTCTTATAATGGTTCTTGTGATGGTTCTTGTGATGGTTCTTGTGATGGTTCTTATGATGGTTCTTGTGTTGCCTGGGTTCTTATGATGGTTCTTGTGATGGTTCTTATGATGGTTCTTGTGATGGTTCTTATGATGGTTCTTGTGTTGCCTGGGTTCTTATGATTGTTCTTATAATGGTTCTTGTGATGGTTCTTGTGATGGTTCTTGTGATGGTTCTTATGATGGTTCTTGTGATGGTTCTTGTGATTGTTCTTAAATGGTTCTTGTGATGGTTCTTGTGATGGTTCTTGTGATGGTTCTTATGATGGTTCTTGTGTTGCCTGGGTTCTTATGATGGTTCTTGTGATGGTTCTTATGATGGTTCTTGTGATGGTTCTTATGATGGTTCTTGTGTTGCCTGGGTTCTTATGATTGTTCTTATAATGGTTCTTGTGATGGTTCTTGTGATGGTTCTTGTGATGGTTCTTATGATGGTTCTTGTGATGGTTCTTGTGATGGTTCTTGTGATGGTTCTTGTGATGGTCTGGTTCCATATGTCTGTTGGGTATCGTGCACTATGGGTTCTTTTCTGTTGAATTGTATTTAATTATTTTTAGTATAATGTATTTGTTATGTGCTTGTTGTTGTTTATGTTCTTCTGTGTTTGGTTTAGTTTGTTCTTGTTTCTGCTGTTTGTCAAAGCACTTTGTAAACCTGTGTTTTTAAAAGGTGCTATAGAAATAAAGTTATTATTATTATTATTATTATATTAAATAAAGTTATTATTATAAATAAAGTTATTATTATTATTATTATTATAATAAATAAAGTTATTATTATTATTATTATTATTATTATTATTATTATTATTATTATTATAAATAAATTCATTATTATTATTATTATTATAAATAAATTCATTATTATTATAAATAAAGTTATTATTATTATTATTATTATAAATAAAGTTATTATCATTATTATTATAATAAATAAAGTTATTATTATTATTATTATTATTATAAATAAAGTTATTATTATTATTATTATAAATACATTTATTATTATTATTATTATTATTATTATAAATAAAGTTATTATTATTATTATTATTATTATTATAAATAAAGTTATTATTATTATTATTATTATTATTATTATAAATAAAGTTATTATTATTATTATTACTTCCCAACTCTGAATCTTGGACTCTCCGAGGAGTTCGTGAATGCAGCACTAGAGACGAGGCAACAGGAGGTCGTCACAACTGAGCAAGGAGGGGGGGGTGACAGCTCGCAGTACCCACTTTAAACACTAGGTGTCAGAGTTACATGTTGCTCATTCAATGAAAGGTAAGGTTAATAAATGTGCAGCTTTAAAATAACAAATTTGATGATTTCGATCCTAAAACAAGGTGTCGTATTAAGATGAAACAGTAACACCGCCTCTATCAGCTGAACCATCATCAACACTAAATAGAACTACGTCATTAGTCACGTGACCCCTGAAAGCGAAAGTTAACTTTGGGACCTTCAGAATCTGCAGTTTCATTTCCGCCTTTTTGTTTCCTCACAGCGAACAGAAACTTTCATGTTTGTAGTTTTGTTTCCTCAACATGGAAATAACAGAGTTTCACTTCTTCTTCTTCTGTTGTGTTTTTACGCTGTTTTCACGAAACGACGGTCTTCCGGTTTCAGGTTAGTAGGGCTACGTTTACGGTATTCCGTTACGTGTTAACACAGTAAAACACTATAGTGAGTTACGTGACTGAAAAAACGACGTTAATGTAGATACGGAGAGTCCGTAACAGACGGCTGGAGGTACCGTCAGTCGGCTGGTGGTGACGGTACCGTCAGTCGGCTGGAGGTACCGTCAGTCGGCTGGAGGTGACGGTACCGTCAGTCGGCTGGTGGTGACGGTACCGTCAGTCGGCTGGTGGTGACGGTACCGTCAGTCGGCTGGAGGTGACGGTACCGTCAGTCGGCTGGTGGTGACGGTACCGTCAGTCGGCTGGTGGTGACGGTACCGTCAGTCGGCTGGTGGTGACGGTACCGTCAGTCGGCTGGAGGTGACGGTACCGTCAGTCGGCTGGTGGTGACGGTACCGTCAGTCGGCTGGTGGTGACGGTACCGTCAGTCGGCTGGTGGTGACGGTACCGTCAGTCGGCTGGAGGTGACGGTACCGTCAGTCGGCTGTGGTGACGGTACCGTCAGTCGGCTGGTGGTGACGGTACCGTCAGTCGGCTGGTGGTGACGGTACCGTCAGTCGGCTGGAGGTGACGGTACCGTCAGTCGGCTGGTGGTGACGGTACGTCAGTCGGCTGGTGGTGACGGTACGTCAGTCGGCTGGTGGTGACGTACCGTCAGTCGGCTGGTGGTGACGGTACCGTCAGTCGGCTGGAGGTGACGGTACCGTCAGTCGGCTGGAGGTGACGGTACCGTCAGTCGGCTGGTGGTGACGGTACCGTCAGTCGGCTGGAGGTGACGGTACCGTCAGTCGGCTGGAGGTACCGTCAGTCGGCTGGTGGTGACGGTACCGTCAGTCGGCTGGTGGTGACGGTACCGTCAGTCGGCTGGAGGTGACGGTACCGTCAGTCGGCTGGAGGTACCGTCACCTCCAGCCGACTGACGGTACCGTCAGTCGGCTGGAGGTACCGTCAGTCGGCTGGTGGTGACGGTACCGTCAGACGGCTGGTGGTGACGGTACCGTCAGTCGGCTGGTGGTGACGGTACCGTCAGTCGGCTGGAGGTGACGGTACCGTCAGTCAGCTGGTGGTGACGGTACCGTCAGACGGCTGGTGGTGACGGTACCGTCAGACGGCTGGTGGTGACGGTACCGTCAGTCGGCTGGTGGTACCGTCAGTCGGCTGGTGGTGACGGTACCGTCAGTCGGCTGGTGGTGACGGTACCGTCAGTCGGCTGGTGGTACCGTCAGTCGGCTGGTGGTACCGTCAGACTGTCTGAACACTGAAGAGTCTGAGGATAGTGACTCTCCCGATCATAAGTTAGAATCTTGTTTTATTTGGTTTAATGTTAAAGTGTAAATCTTAAAGGCTGTTACTTTTCCGGTAAGCGTTTAAAGTTTAAAGTGACAGATTTCTTAAAGTGACAGATTTCTTAAAGTGACAGATTTCTTAAATTGACAGATTTCTTAAAGTGACAGATTTCTTAAAGTGACAGATTTCTTAAAGTGACAGATTTCTTAAATTGACAGATTTCTTAAAGTGACAGATTTCTTAAAGTGACAGATTTCTTAACGGGGTTCGGTCTGTAAGCGGATACTGAGACAGTGCTGCTGGGGTAAAGCCTTGTTCTGAACGTGGTGAGGTGTGACGTCAGCTCTCAGAGTTTAGTTACATTCTTACAAGAATCAGGTCAAAGTTTGAAACTGTGTGACACCCTTTGTTCTCCAAATCAAAAACAAGAAAATGAAAACAGCTTTTCATGAGTAGAATCGTTTTCATCATCTGGACACATGGCAGCTGAGGCCCCTCCCCCCCGGTGACCCCTGATTGGATAATGTGTATCGATAATAATCCGTTTTTTGTGCTTGTTCTGTGTACAGCTGGGCCTGTGACGAGGTTTTCCCTTCCTGGGGGGAACGTAGTTCTGCCGTGTCGGCCCGCCTCACCTCTGTCACATGACCTGGTTTTGGAGTGGTTACGAGTCGATGTTCTCCCCTCACTGACGCTCTTCGTTCTGCGTGATGGCGAGGAGCTTAAGCAGGACAAAGATGATAGATACGTCGGGAGGACGGCCCTGACTGATGGTTATTCTTTGAGGCTGCTCGATGTCCAATCGCAGGACAACGGCACGTACAGGTACTCAGGCGCCATCTTCAGTGTGTCCACTTACAAGTTTGGTCAAGCAGCAACCTCCAGGGCGCAAGTGATGTAGAATTAGGGGGCGTGGCCTCTTTGAGTGACAGGTGGGAGCTTCTATCTGTATGCTAGGTGTCACCTCAGCTAATTCAGTCACTGACCTTTAACCCCTGTGCCGTGTTGTTGCTGCTGTGTGTCAGAAATGTATTGACTTCGTGATATCTTTTAACGTTAATGAAGAAGCGCGTTGTCTTCTCTCTTCTCGTTTGTGTTCCTGATTCAGTTGTGTCTTTTGGAGAGGAACACAACGTCAACACCAGGAGTCCGTCTCTCTCATCGTTGGTAAGATTAACGCTAACGTTAACACGATGACATGCTTCTAAACTACAGTTCTAACGTGCTAATATTTCATTATATTGTGTTGTTGATGAAAAAGTACAAAAGGACAATTGAAGGTTCAAACCAAACTTCCGTGAAGTAGACGATGATGGTTAACGTATGCAGTAAAGTAACGTAAACATGTTCTGGCGTGTTTTTCCTCAGCTCGGGTGTCTGAAGTGAACATCTCTACCTCGAAGATGCCGTCCAATGAGCTGCTTGTTGTCTGTGAGTCCTGTGACTGGTACCCGCCCCCGCAGGTGTTTCTGCTGGACTCCACCAGAAAGGACCTTCACGCCCTCACTAAGCGCTCAACCGGGCGAGACGGCTTGGTTTCCTTCAGCGCGACCCTTCACCTGAACAAAGGTACTGCAGCCAGGAGTGTGTGAGCATGAAGTGTAACACTGAATCGTTACACTCATTCTCTTACAGAAGCTCAGGTACATGACGCCGTTGGGATGTTGGCGGAGGTTGAACTTCTAACCGACCTTTATTTGCCTGTTTTATTTTTTTAAATTTCAGAATCAAAGCTTTAGAAGCTCCTCTTAGCAACATAACAGAGGACGTACAGACGGCTGTCAGGGGGTTCTTGAAAACTGAAGAACACTTAAAAACATGATGACAGGTTCTGCAGGTTCGAGAGCGCTCTCTGAATTTGATTGGACTCTCCTTTTCCTCCGTCTTTAACAGCAACGCTAACAGGAAACAGGACCGTTATCTGCAGAGTGGAAATCCCAGAAATGAACCTGGTGAGGGAGAGTCAGATTGATGTCGGAGGTAAGATTCAAATGCACCTGTTGTAACGATATAGAGAGTACTTAGTGTAGTTTGAATAACAATTGAGTCATTTGTGGGAACACATTACGATGATAGCTGTCTCCTTTCTTTAAAGCAACAATCTGAAACTTTCCCTCCTTAAATAGTCGTTTCAAAGGTCGATTTAGTAGGTCAACAACTTTCAACAGGGGGAATGGCGTCTCTCTCATGGCGTCCACAGAGCACCCGCTCGCCTGTTACTGCAGTATGTAACTGTGCAGTGGGTCATCTGGTGAGTGCGTCTTTACAGAAACTCATTTCAGACGCTTCTATCTGCGATCGTATTCTTTGGTCATGACCCTCAGGTGAGGCGGGGATAACAATCGACAGGTAAATCTAAAGCTAATCTAAATTTCTTCCACACCTGGCGCCTTGCTACTAGCATATAAAAAATGACCCTCTCCGATCTAGCCATTTAGCCATAGCCTGTAGTCGTCATGTAACAGTTGAATACACAGACACATACTTCACATGCTAACAGTTTGACAACAACAAGCTGCAGATGCTCGCAGACTTCTCCGCCTTCTGATAACAGACCTGTGTGTCATCACTCAGTGACCTCCAGTCGGTGCCAAAGTGCACCAAACCCAATTCCTACATATTGTTGCTTTAAAGGAGATCTATTATTCTCACTGTCACCATTAATGATGTCACTCTGGGACACCTGTAGCAGGGAACGATGTGCACCTCAAAAACCTCCTGATGTATCTGATAGCAGTAAAATCCCTCATGTCAGCCTCGGCTGAAACGCTTCATTCCAGCTGCTGTCTCTTTAACCAAATGTTATTCAGGTAGTCATTTAAAAAATGAAGTGAGGAGAAATCCTCACAGATGAAGCCACTGCGTTGAGAACAAGTTCTCCTCTGACTGTTCTGTCTACAGAAGGCTTCAGTCCCCAGGAGGCAGGATCTCTACCCCTGGTCATAAGCGTCCTCTGTGTTTTGTTGCTGTTTTGTATCATCATCACCTGCGTTACTGTTTACTGTTGGAGGCGTTGTCAAGGTGAGTGTCTGCTGTGTTTTTCTATCAGCATGAAGACGTGATCCTGCACACACTCTGTGTTTCTTTTTGTTCCAGAGCACATCTTAAGAAAGACCAAGCCGAAGAAAGGTACAGGATGTTTTGAGTTCGACAGCCACCTTTCCTTTTTTTGCATATTTGCTGTTTCTGCAGACTCAACTTCTCTGTTATTCCTACATAGCCATGAAACTTCCAGCACAGAAAATGTGCACCGCATTGTTTACAGTCCAGTCAGCAGCTTGAGAAATGATCCTGTGCTCAGATCAAAAAAACTGAAGGGAAATTCTCTCCTCCAGATGCTAATTAGACTCTTTGTCGCATGATAACAAATACAGAAACCTTTCAGATAAGACACAGTGGGCGCTGCTGTAAAGCCCAATCAGTGTGTTGCTGCGCACAACAGCATATCTGCGCCCCGCCGAGCTGAAGTAATACATTTTAACTTCGGTGCGTCCAATAGGAGTGGAGATCAGATCACAACAAACGGTGCTCTGCTTTCCTGAGCTCTAGTTTACTGACCTGTAAACTAGAGTTTGTAAAGACATGTCGGACAAAACTAAAACTCTCCCACACCCTGTTGTGTCCAGAGTATTTCATGAAGTCACGCCCTCTTCTTCTCCGCTGCTCGTCTCCTCCTCCTCAGCAGGAGAAAGATCAGAGCGTTCTACTGAAGAGTGTGCACATTAAACATACTGTGCATCCAAACAGGAGAGATTTTTCTTACCTACATGCGTAGTTGCTTTCTGCTCTGTGCCCTACTCCGCAGTGAGCGCAGTGCACACTGCGTCCTACCTGAAAGGCACAAAATAGATGCTTTTCTCCCATCTTCTGATATGAAGCTCTTAAAAAATCATCCCATGTGCCAACTGTATTTGGTAGAGACTGTTTTGTTGCCTCCTTATGAGGACAAAAGTAGGGCCCGACTGATATAGGATGTTGGGGGGATACTGATACATCGGCAGATATCTTTCTTAAATCCATGTTCGATCGGTAGAGGTAGATATAAATTACACATTAATTAAGTTGATCCCTCAAATGCCGTTATCAAACACTTGTGGAAAAGATTTATGATGAAGACAAGATGGTCACTCTGCTGGAGAGTAACTGTTCGACAATCGGGAGAGTGGTGATGCTTGTTATAATCCATATAGCGCCCTCTACTGGTGAAAGAGAACTGTTAGTGTAATTAAAAGATACTCAAATGAAATGATATTTAGCCTTAAAAGCAATAACTTTCAATGCAGGCTCAGGAGCCAGCGAAGATTATTTACTAGAACTCTTTGGTTCCGTGGAGACAAGTGCTGGAGAGATGGAAGATAATAAAACATCAGAGGGGAAAGCTGAAGCAAGGGAAGGTAATGATTCTTTTCTTTTTTTTGTCATTTAATTCAAGTTGTAGACTTTGATATATTTAGTGTATTATCATAAGGATTTAAATTTGTAATGTTTTCAGTTTTTCCCTCAGATGAACCTCTTCCTCGAGGTAAGTCCAAAACCTGGAGACGGATTCAGAACATCTGCAGAGAATCATGTTTTTGTTTAGACATTGAAGGCAGGGTTCCATCAAAACCTGCCCTCCCCCTCTCCTCTTTGGCTCTTTCAAACGACACGCCTTCGTACACATGTACAAGCTAGGCTGGACGCCAGTACCTAGCTTTCAACCATGTCACGTCATTGATATGGTTGAAAGAGTCGTGTCCCGTCATTTCTCATTCAGTAAACACCGAACATTAGCGTACTGAATGTAATAAAAAAAAGATGGCTAGAAATGAAAAAGGAGTTTGAGTGAAATGTAAAGACGTGTTCCTCGTTGTGTTTTAGTGCATGCAGACATCATGAATGTGGAAACGACGGGCACTATTCAGACGGTGAGGGTAAACAGGCTGAGTAAGACCGGTGAGTTCAGTAAGGATCCTTACAGGCGGGGAGGTAAACCTAAAGCCCACATATAACCTGTCAGTGTCACTGTTTCAGGAGTTGAAGCTTCTGAAGAGTTGGCAGATAGAGACCTGACTGAGATGGAGAAGTACAAGAGGACATCCTGTTCGTGGGAAAACAGTAAGAACTAGAGATTTCCTAACTCTGTGGACGATATCTCTTCCATATTGTCGTGAGTATCCTTCACAGGGATTCTCTTTATGTCAGTCTGCATCACCTCACAGCCATTTAGTGTCATCTTTGCTTCTATGAATCAGTTACTCTGTGGTCGGTAGAGGCTCGAAGTCCTGCGTCTCTCTATTCCCAGCCTTAAAGTCTTTATATGTGATGTTTTGATCCAGCAGATGTCGCCCTTGAGCACCAGCATGAAACCAAAACAACTGGCGCTGCATTGTTGTGTTAGCATGCTAATGCTAGCGATCTTTATTATGCTGGTATCTTCACACTGCATGTAATTTACCTGAAATGAGCGTGATCTAGAAACACAGTTAAGCAGTGAGTACAGTATGTTATTCTTCTTTTCTCTAGTCCCTCAATTAAAACAACTTTTATACACGAGGGGAGGAGTCAGCCGGCCGTCCCGGCGATGTAAACAAAGTGAAGATAGGACTCTGAAAACTCTGAAAACATCACAGACAGTGGGACTCGGGTGTTACACCCATTGTAGACAGTCATGACTCACAGAGTTATTTTCAGAGGAGAGACTTGATTTCTACATTTAAGTGTGAAAAATCACATAAAGACTTTAAAGAGAACTCTAAGACTCTTCTGTTGTCTCCTGCAGACGTGGTGTCCATCCTGCCCTCATCGCCGCCATCATCTCCAGACAGTCTCAGGCTGGAACAAGCCTGAGTCAGACGGGTTATGGAACATTTGACCATGACTGCTTCGGCCTCATGCAGGTGTGTTAGTGTGTGTTTGGATGTGCAGCCATAATTTAAAGGGACAGTACTGATCACTGGATTAGTGAAATGTTGTTGCATTGGAATATGGTTAACTTTAAGGCAATGAGTCAGATATCTTCCGTTCTGGACTGAGGATTAGTCTCAAGTGGTTATTGTGTCCTGTTGTTGCAGATCAATAAGCTTTACCACAAGCTGGATGAACGTACAGGACCGTTCAGCAGGGAGCACCTGGACCAGGGAGCCGCCTACCTCCGCTTGCTCATCGACACCATGAGGAAGAACACGGGCTGGACCGCAGAGCAGAACTTGAAAGGTAAAGTCATGGGTAATTGAATCCAGTCAGCCAGATAAACCTGGCTAAACAAAAGGTTGAATTAAATAAATATGAATCATATAATATGAATATGTTAAGGACTCTATCTGTTGAAGCGGACGCGAGGAGCTCTGCGAGGTAAATCATTATTAACTGTGAGTGTCATCTTCATGCTGTGTTTCAGGTGCTGTGGCTGCTACATTGCAGGTCCGGAAAAAGTCATTGGTTTGAAGTACGATGAAGTGGACAGCGTCACGCCGAACAACGACTTTGCAAACGACGTGATCGCCAGAGCGCAGTGGTACGCTAAGAACCACTTTAAAATGTCGTAGCCTCCCAATCTCAATTTTCTCTTTTTCTGCATCGCACAGTCAAACTGTGGTCACCTTAAAGGGCGGCTAAATATAAGAGTAAATATTTTTACTGGAAGGATTAAAAAAAAACATGTTTATCCATGTTTGTGAAGTTTTACTGGAGAAGTGTTAAATCTCAAACAGCCTAGGGGGCGCTGGTGGTGCAGTGGTTAGTGTGCACCCCATGTATGGAGGCTGTAGTCCTCAAAGTGGGTCAACTAGTGAGTTAAGTTTGAAGTCATTCTTTCTGCCTGAAACCAAAGGGAAGTCAAGAAGTGATAGCGCAACACTGCTGTGTTAAATAATGAACTTACAAAATTATCGTTTTCGTTGTACAATATCACAAAATAATGCAAAATGCAACACAGGAAACAGGAGAAGTTTGAACAATTTTGCCCAACAAATAATCTGAAAACTAAACTCTCAAATACTTTTCTTTTGAAGAAAGCGTACGCATAGACACTGGCTGAAGGCGTGTTACTGGAGGATTCCTCTAGAGGGAGCCCCACATAAATCAGACCAGGGGTGGAGCAGCCATTTTAAAAGTCGGGTGTTGTAATGTTAGTATATTAGCACCTCTAGCAAATCAACACATTCTGTTTAATGTCCAATAACTGATGTTAGCTGACACATCAACAAGACAAAGTTACCAAAGATAATCAGACTCTAACTTTATGAACATCCATTGTGAAATAACCCAGTTAGCTCTAAAAAACAGATTCAAACTGATCTTTGATCTTTGTGATGCTTTTATTTTGATTTTCTTATTGCCTTACGCCTCAGTCTCTTATAAATGCATAAAATGTGCTTTTATTTTGAAAAACTGCAAAGGGGACTTCTGCTACATCGTAAAGTTCTGGAGTAAATACATACAGCAAAATATAAAAACAGGAGGAGAAAATGTTCCACTAACGTTGTTTTGTGAGGTGGATTTATCTTGAAAACATCTTTCTGAAGGATGCTACATGTAGACATGTATCCATGTGTTAGCTCTGAGCTCTGACTCAGTTGATGAGTGACAGGAGGATTAAACGTAACTTTACCGTGCTTCATCTGTAACAAACAGCTATGA